TTACTGCGCTGAAGATGACTTGCATGAAGATGACATGCCAAAGACTTAAATATCAATAAGCTTATCTTTAACAGAGCTTATTACATCAGCCTGCTACACAAGAACTTTCCCCAATAGTAACAGAATAAAGATAAAAATGATAAAGAATCATGTATTTATGTCTCGTATCCAGAAGGACGACACAAAGCAGAATATCATCTCGTCACAATTAAACAGCCTCATATTTCTTCAAAAGAAATGTTGGATTACCAAATATCTCTCTTTATGACCAAATGCATGACTTTCCAGGCATGTTGTCTTGTAACTGGAAACTCTGCCAACAGCACCAACAGCCTCAATGCTCAATTGCCATGCACACCAACAGCCCAGTGAAGGGAGCCAAGACATCGAATCATGACATGAAAGCACCAAATGCTTAATTTGTTGATGCAAGGAGATTGACAGAGGACTGTTGACAACAGACATACAAACAAGTAGGAAAAATAATAAACCATTCAGGCACATCAGCAAAAACCCAAAGGTATCAACAGAGAAGTTTTAGTTTGTGAACAACCATAATAATAGATCTGTCATTGCTTGGAGTCACAGGATATTGTCAACAGCTGTGGAGGAATATGTTGCTCACACATGATTATTGCCTCCATGGATCTGTGCTGAAGTGACATGACAAGACAGGAAGATCTCAGGCTCAGTCAATAAAGATTTCTGAAGAGGAAAAAAAACAAAACAAGCAGAGCAAAACTACCGTAACACATCAAGAAAAGTTTGTTGCAGCCCAGCATAGGAAGAGACATGCTGCGATTTGTTTTTACAATCTGAGATGTTTAGCAGAGATACCGTGTCAAAATGCAGAATTTACAGTCATGTGAAAAAGGTAAGGCACCACATGACAGCTCGGGATCGTTTGTTGTTGCAGGATTTATGGGAATTTTATATCATTTTCAACAATATGTAAAATCGTATCAACAAAAACAGCAATATATCACTATGCATTTTGTGAAATGGAATAAAAATATTAATTCTATGAGGAATACATTTGTAAACCTTTTACATTTATTCAAAATTAAAAATGCTAACATTACATGTAAACATACAGCGTAAAAACATCATTATTCATCATTGTTCATCCACATTTATGTACCTTTCAACATTTTACATCTGACTGTATGTTGAGATCTCTGTTATGATCTTTAAAACACAATTCTTTTTTGATAAAAAAGTGTGGCACAGCTGTTATTTAAATCCTAAATGTTAATTGTGGATAATTATGATCATTCTTCCAAAACAGAGGCACTGACATTTAGATCACTGAAGAAAATGCAACAGAAAGTTTTATATGCAGAAGAGTCTGTTAAATTGCTTCTCTCTTGCAACCAACAGATTATATAAAAGATAAAACTCCAGACAAATCAGAGATGTTCTAATGCTTTACAGTAGTAAACCTTCCCAAAACCTCAAAAGTGCTCCTGATAAATTTGGTTAATGTTGTCTAGTTCACATGTGAGTTTCTGGGTGTTTTGAGCGAGAAATGATCAAATGTATTGCAACCACCTCAAACTACACCGTGCTTCCATAAAATGGACCAATTTTGAACATTGGCATCAGTTTTAGTTCACATTGCTACCAATAAGATTTGCAGGAAAATCAACCTCCCTACTGATGTCAATGGTAAAGTGACGTAATCCAAACTGATCCAAGGTAGCTAGATAAAGAAATACTCTCTCTTAGATATTTCATAAATACATTTCACAAAGAACCTCAGAGTGAATGCTAACCTTTCTAACTTCTGTCTCCAATTACAGTTGTTCCAATTGACATTTGCAAGTACGTACTCTAACCTGCACCACACAAAGTTGGCACACTGCTGCTAGGTAAAGGCCTATTTAAACGTATTCCACTGCTGAGTTGAAAGCATTGAATCAAATACTAATGTGAATATATTTTTAGACAGGTTGAAAAGATTGCCAGGTTGAACAGCACTTTCCCTATCACAAAGGCTCAGGAAAAAAAAAACATGCTTATCATAATTTCCTGTACGTACGTTGTTGTGATTTATATTTCAGCTCGAATTCTGAAGAGGATCTATGCTCAAAAGTCTGCAGATTACACAAAGTGTAAACAAACAGGCAACACTGTTTTACAGTAGCACTGCTCTGCTGTACAGTACCACCTTCTTCAATAATATAATTCTTCACTGGGATGTTATGAATTCTACTTTAGCCCCAATTATCCTCCTTAAGACTCTCCCATTCTGGACCTAAAGCTAAGCAGTAGGCGTGCGGTCATGTCGTTGTAGGATATTCATTTTCACTCACCTTTCACACACAGCTCAGACTACCTGACCTGCTTAGATGGGTAACTTAGTGAGTGGTTACAGAGAAAACGCCACACCTTTTTGCAGACAGCCTCCTTTGGGGACAATGACTTTGCATTTTCCATCCATCCATGAGTTTTTTTGTTTGTTTTTTTTGGTATTTGATTATCCTTGAATGTACTTTGTGAAGAATCTTACAAATGTGCATAAGATCTCATCGTGTCAGACAAATGCTCCTTTCATGCAGTCTCTGGATCCAAAAACCGTGTAACAGAAGTGAACTAGATGAAGTGAAATATCATTGCCGTTTATGGGCATTAATGCATAAAACAAGCCCACAAACTTCCGACCAATCACACAACACATCACACAGTGCTCTGCACAAAATAGTTCAACCAAACTTGGTGCTCAGAAGGGGAAGCAGATCCCTCCCTGCGAACAACTTTTGTCACACAACTAGGTCAACGAGAGCCAATTTCTACAGTTCTGGTGAAGTACAGGAAGGCCTTCAGTTTTAACTATCTCAATATAAAAGAGTTTAGCAATCTAGCTGACAGGGTGGGTTTTTTTATATATTTTGATAATAACACCAAGACTACAAACAAAAATAAACATGCAAAAAAAAAAAAAATCATTTTTACTAGATTTTTAATACTGCAGGTATATTAATGATAATAATACAATACATGATACGATAATTGACTGCTGGAGTTGATGGAGAGTCAGTGTAGGTGTTGTAAAATGGAAGAGATGGGATGGAAGGAGGGGGTCTGGGTGATGATACGGGTGGCAGACTTCTGAACCGTTTAAAGTTTATGGAGGCATTTCTGTGGGAGACCGTAGAGAAGGGAATTACAAGACTGGAGGTGACCAGGCTACGAACAAGGACAGAGATGAAGTGAAGGTCCAGGGAGGGGCAGAGGGGATTTATGGAACGAAAATGGAAATAAGCACATAGGACAATATTATTAATGTGGGATTGAAAGTAGACGATACCGTCATCGATGACATTCACACCATATACCCGAGGGGGAGATTGAGGACTGTCAATCGGGGAGAAGTTATTGGTTTTAAAGAGGGTGGACTGCTGACAATTAGTAAAATTTCAGTTTTATCTGAATTTATTCCTGCCCATATTGATGATTGCATTGCAATTTTATTAACACCAATATCAGTGAAATCTTGATGTGAACTGAAATGTTGCACAACACAGCTGTTAAATGTGAAATCATATGAGAAGGGAAGCAACTGACAAAACTCTGTTTTACATATAAAGCATGGTAAAACCATAAAAATGAAAACTGCCTTTACAGATTTATCCAACACGTGAATTAAAAATCCAAAATACACAAAGACACAAACTCAGGTAACAAACAATGAATGTTGCTCAGTTGGGCAGTTCCAGGTTGGATGGAGCGCAGGTATTAACAGAATTAAAAAATAACTGTGTGACTGGCACAGAGGCTGCCAGACAGTGCAGACAGTTCCTTTGTATTATGTGGAATGTGCATCCGCCACCAGATAGCTGAGCACTTGACAGTAAACACATGTGGGAGTTATGATGAAATTCAAATGTCTCCTGTAATTATAGTTCCAATTTGTGTGTTTCTCTGGGAGCTCAGCTTTGACATCTGTGAGTCTTCTGTTACAATCTCTCAGGGCATCTCCTGGCTGCTGATGGTGGGATTGTAAAAATAAGCGTGTGTGGCCTAAATTTGTACGCCAAATGTTTTGTGGGTCTAAATTGTAAAAAAACAACAAAAAAAAAACAAACAAAAAAAAACAACACATTTAAGAAAATCATTACATTCTGAATAATCTGAATCTGAGTGGTGTTTTTTTTCTCGGCCATAAGATTCTCTTTGTGGATGATCCTCGACACTCAACATGCGCTCACTTCAAATAAATAGGGGCTTTGCAGGATCATGGACCTCGCTCAGAAAGTTGTGCATAGGATTAATGCACAAAGTAATTGATTTTGTAAAAGTGTGCACGTCCACTTGTCCATGCAAACTTTCCTCAATGCATCACAATCAGTTTAGAAACGAGTGCACTTGCTGGCTGTGGAGTGCTTTATAGTCATTTTTACCAAATGATAAAAACCAGCTGGCATGTTATCACCTGGCAAACAGCCTTGTAACCGGTGCATATGCATTGAAATCATCCATGTAATGTTAAAAAAACATACCAATAATCGTCGTTTATAGTGCAGTGGGAGAAGGCCGTTTCAGCTAATATGCACTCATGAGGTCAAGCAGAACAAGATCAACTACTTTATGTGACATGTCAGATTTAAGCTATTTTAAAACTAGTAAATAATGGTTTGTTGTATGGGTGCGAAATGCAAACACAAATCAGTGAAGGGGCAAATTGAGAATGATAGAGATGGCATTTTGGGGAGAGCTTTAACAAAGCAATGGAAACTAAAAGAGATGAATTACAAATTCTCTGCCTTACAGCTTTATAAAATGATTATATGCTAGAAGATGTGCTTGGCAGAATTACAACAATCCCTAAAGTTTAGATGTTGGCTTGAAATTTGGTAAGGAGTGCAGCTCTCAGTGGACATTTGACCTGTTCCAGAATGAGCAGTCAAACATGAAGTTTGTATCTCATAAAGTTGTGAACAAAATCAGAATCCTAGACAGAATGACACTGCAGAGAAGGATAAGAAAAGTCCAGCCCTCTAGATGCTGCCCTCTTCCTCATTGACCAGCAGCAGAGCTTTGAAAGGCTTCATGGATACAAGTTTCACCACCTTAAATGTGTTCAACAATGAGACAGAATGAGAGGGAATGAGAGGGAATGACAGGGAATGAGAGGGAAAGAGAGGGATTGAAAGGGAATGAGAGGGAATGAGAGGGAATGAGATGGAATGAGAGGGAATGATTTTGTATTAACTGTGCATTCAAGACTACAACCAAAACACCCAGTGA